GAGTTCTAGTTCTTAGGGTTTAGTTCTGTGTTCCCTCTGTTCAGTGTTGAGACTGTGTCTCTGTCCCTCTCATATCCTTCCTGTTTTATTTTAATAGTCCTGCTCTGTGTCAGCTTCGGTCCCCCATCTTGTCTGCCTAATTAGTTCTAAAATGCACTTTTAGTTGAAAAGTGCATTTTTGAGGAATCATAAACAGTGACACTGTGTGTGTCATGTCTGAGTGTATTTCATTATGGGACAGCAGTGAAAGAGTTCAGGGGGATTTTGACACTGTTACAAGAACTGTCTGCATTCCCACCACATTATACGATATATAACTGTCACCTCCCTGCTCTCTGAAACAGGGTAATCAACCATTTATTAATGTCAGATAGGCTATTTGTGCATTCAAAATATATCTGTAGCTCAGTATGGTGGAAAAACCTATTATGAGAGGGAATTCCTGGGCCTGGCAAAATTGACAAATAGGTGAGTTTGTGTAATGAAAAATGCCTTAACTGTTTTGACGACTGCATTAAGAGCAGTGAGAATAAAATTTCTGCTGTGAGAACTGAACCAAACTGACTGAGTAAAACCTGTAACAGTTCAGATTGACTATTTACTGATATCTTGCTCAGTTGTTCCCTGATCTCAAGACTTTCATTTTCTCGTTATGTCAACGTATTAAAAATTGCATGAATGGGTGACCTGAGGAAAAAAAGTCAATACATATTGTTTTTATCACATTCAGAAGGTTGGCCTGAATAATTCAAAATGTAATGTGTTAACGTAAAGGAGAGGATTTGTGTTCGTCTTTGAGGAGGAGGAGCTGATGTAAACTATGATCTCTACCATGAAGACATGATGCAGAATATAAGACAGGGAATACACGATTAACCACCACTGTACACGGAGCAGAGACAGGTGGCCTTGACAATGAATCATCCTGAATTCGTGGCTGTTTTTCTTATCATTTATATTTACTGGGCTGGTAAGGGAAGTGCAGTTGTTTTACTAACATTGTTGTGAAAGTGAAATGATAAGCTTGGAAAACAGTCACTAGTTATTCTTGTTTGACTGCAGGTACTGAGAACCACACAGACTGAGCTGTACATACTCAGGGTTTAGCAGCGATATTCATGTTGTTTGGATCAGACAGGCAGCTGGGAAAGGACTGGAATGGATTGTTTTCATCTGGAGCGACAATAGTGGAAGCTTCTATTGTGAGTCAGTCAGAGGCCGGTTTAGCATCTCCAGAGACAACAGCAGAAAGCAGGTGTATCTGCAGATGAACAGCCTGACAACTGAGGATTCAGCTGTTTATTACTGTGCTCGAGAGTCACAGTGACACAAGAGAAAGAAATTTTGCACAAAAGCTAATCACACTAAGTCAAACACTGCTTGATTGCTGCTCAAGTTATAGACAATACATTTAACTCAATCCTCACACTCAGAAATACAATAAAGCTGGTTTTGTGAAGCCTTTGTGTTGTAAAGTTTTACAATAAATAGTTTTTTGGTGGATGTTTACATTTAAATATTGTTATCTGCCATGTCTGAATTTTTCCAGAAAAATAAATCCAACACTATATGTGTTTTTAAATAATATTTCCTTTTAATTGTACTAACATTGTTTCTTACTACTATACTGAATGCCACAGTGTGATCTTTTTCCTCTTATAATCTGTCAGCATCCATCTGTATGCAAATCAAACTTCCTCACAGGCTGATATAAAGTCTGATATCATGCTGTCAGTCACAGAAGAAGATGAGAAGCTCCAATCAGATCATATTTAGTACCAACATGTTCTCTGTAGCTCTGCTGCTGCTGCTGGCTGCTCGATCCTGTGAGTCTCACTGAACAGAAACACTATGATCACAGCAGACTGATTCTTACTGTTACTACATTAAACATGTTTTCTCCACAGGTGTGAAGTGTGCACAGCTGACACAGCCAGCCTCTGTGATTGTGCAGCCAGGTCAGCGTCTGACCATCACCTGTCAGGTCTCTTATTCTCTGAGTGGCGACTGGACAGCTTGGATCAGACAGCCTGCAGGGAAAGGACTGGAGTGGATTGGAATGAAATACACTGGGGACTCTCGCTATAAAGATTCACTAAAGAGCAAGTTCAGCATTCAGTTAGATACTTCAAGCAAGACAGTTACTCTAAATGGACAGAATATGCAACCTGAAGACACTGCTGTGTATTACTGTGCCAGAGGACCACAGTAACACAAAACATCACCAAACCTGAACAAAAACCTCTCAGTGGCTGAGTAGTTGTAGCATGAAGCCACCAGAGGAGGATCTCTAAGACCACTAAAGAATTGATGATTGATTTTACTCAAAAAAAATAAATTGGGAAATTCCTTACTGGTCACTTTTTTTTCTTTTTTTTTTGCCTGTCCCGTTTGGCTCTTTTGCCATCAGAATTATTGTCTAAAGGCGAAGAAAGATGCCCAACGGATTACTTGAAGTAACCAAGATGAGTGTTGAAGGCCGTCTTCCATTCATCTCCCTCCCTTATCCTCACCAGATGATAAGCATTGCACAGGTCCAGCTTAGTGAAGACGGAGACTCTCTGAAGCAGTTCAAAGGCAGATGTTAGCAAAGACAGTGGGTACTTGTTTCTCACATTGATCTTATTAAGACCCCGATAGTCAATACAAGGCCTTAAACTCTTATCTTTCTTTTCTACAAAGAAAAACCCAGCCACAAGAGGAGAGGAAGATGTATCTTTCCATTGCCTCACGTTCAGGTTGAGAAATACTGTATAAACGGCTTGTAGGAAGAGTGCCGGGGAGGAGGTCAATACCACAGTCATAAGGTCTGTGAGGGGGCAACAAAGATGCACGGTCTTTACTAAACACCTCCAGGAGATCATGATAGGGCTTTGGAGTTGACGTCACGCCGCAATGCATTGTGGGAGCGCAGCTCCATTTTCGGGGTCTACGAATCAAAACAAACACACTGTGTTGGAACGACGACGACAAGAAACATGCTTAAAAGCAGCT